GCGGGAGGAAGTGGGATGCCAGAAACAACGTCCACGACAAAAATGACGAGGAGTCAATAAAGATAAATTGCAAAAACGTTTACTTTGGCAATTCTGTAACCCCACATAATTACTCTAGTAAATGTTTTTGCGGCTTATCTTTACTGACTCCTCGTCGTTTTTGCTCCAGCCTCCAGGTGGGGCCCGGAGCCTCTCCCAATGCTCCAGTTGCTCTCCAGGAGACACGGAGGCCAGCTCCCCTGGACAAGATGGCTGCCTTGGAGGCTGGACTCCGCAGCACGGGGCCCTGCCCGCCCCAGGCACCAACCCCCAAACCTCCCAGAGCAGACAGCCACGGCCCCTGGGGGTATCTTTGCCCCGTGTCTTTGTTGCCTCCCTGCGCTGAGCAGACCCAGAGGGCTCCTAGGGGCCAGTAGTCTCCGGGGGCCTCCCCACAGCTCTCCCCAACGCCTCTCCCCCCTCCCTCCCTCCCGCAGGCGACCAGCTCCTGAGCGCCAGGGTCTATTTCGACAACATGAAGTACGAAGACGCCCTGCAGATCCTCAAGAGCGCCGAGCCGTACAAGGTCTCCTTCTGCCTGAAGCGGACCGTCCCCAGCACCGACGTGACTCGCAGCCCCGGAGCCCCCACCTTCGAAGTGAGGGGGCCGAGAGCCAAAATGGCCAAGCTGGTGAGTGGCACGGGAACCCTCGGGGGCAGCTGCCCCCTCACCCCCACCCAAAGGTGTCCAAGGCGCACACACATGCTCCACGTCCTGAGGCCGTCTTGTCCCAAGCCGGCTCCCCCCCCGCTCCCTGGCTCCCCCGAGGGGTCTGCTGACCACTACTGGAGACAGCGCCCTGGGCTTGAGGAGCAGTGGCGTCCGAGCTGTTCCCCTGCTGGGTTTTTAGCAAGCCCTTCATCCAAAGGAGCTCAGGACGGCAGAGGTAGCTCCCACCTTTCCTCCTCCTCCTCTGACATCCCGGGGAGGTAGGTCAGACGAAAGAGACCACGGGTGGGCCCAAGGTCATCAGGGGACTCTACGGCTGATAGGGGCAATGCTCCCTCTAAGCTGCTGAGTCTCGCGAGCAAAGATTCTACTTTGCGAGCTACGGGCATTGAAGTTGTGAGCTAGCGATCTGGCTGCTGTGTAAATGGGTTTGCTCTGGAGCCACATCCTTCCTGAGCGAAGGCGAAAAGTGTGTGAGCCGGAGGCTAAAAAACTGTGAGCTGGCTAAAAAACTGTGAGCTGGCTCACACTCACTCAGCTTAGAGGGAACACTGGTTGCAGGGGTCTTTGAACCTCGGTCTCGTTGCATCCAAAGCCATCCCTGCTCTGGCCCAGGCGTGCTTCCCTCCAGGGAGGCCAAATTGCGACACGCGGTGCCACAGCCACGCAGAGATGCGGCCTGTCCTCCACTCCAGAGAGCCACGCTGAAGCCTGGTCTCCAGTCTTCCCTCTAAGCTGAGTTAGTGTGAGCCAGCTCACAGTATTGCAGCTTTCAGCTCACACGTTTCTGCCTTCGCTCAGGAAGGAGGGCTCCAGAGCAGTGTTCCCTCTAAGCTTAGTGTGAGCTAGCTCACAGATTTTTTGCCTCTGGCTCATACCTTATTGTCTTGGCTCAGGAAGGAGGGCTCCAGAGCAGTGTTCCCTCTAAGCTTAGTGTGAGCTAGCTCACAGATTTTTTGCCTCTGGCTCATACCTTATTGTCTTGGCTCAGGAAGGAGGGCTCCAGAGCAGTGTTCCCTCTAAGCTTAGTGTGAGCTAGCTCACAGATTTTTTGCCTCCGGCTCACACCTTTTTGCCTTGGCTCAGGAAGGAGGGCTCCAGAGCAAACTCATTTACACAGTAGCCGAATCGCTTGCTCAGAACTTTGATACCAGTAGTAGCTCACAAAGTAGAACTTTTGCTCACAAGACTCTGCAGCTTAGAGGGAGCATTGAGTGCCACCCTTCCTGCGCTGGGCAGAAGGGGCAGGCTGGGTGGTAGCCAACAATCCTGACCTGGGCAGGAGAGGCAGGCTGGTTCTGTGCAGGTCCCAGAGGCCGGCAGGACGCCCGGCGGCTTAGATGCCCTCTTTTATTGGAGCTGCTCAAGGCTGAGGGCATTCCCGTATCAGAGGTCGTTCCTTCCCTGCGAGAAGAGGTCTGCCCCTTCCTGTGCCCACCCAAAGAGCCTCTTCTCCCCCCCCCCGGCACTGAGCACCCATCTGGTGCCCTTCTCTCCCTTGGGTGGGCGGGCTGGCTAAGGGACGGAGACCAGTGTTCCCTCTAAGCTGAGTTAGTGTGAGCTAGCTCACAGTTTTTTAGCCTCCAGCTCACAGATTTTTGTCTTCGCTCAGGAAGGATGGCTTCAGAGCAAACTAATTCATGCAGCAGCCAAATCGCTGGCTCACAACTTTAATGCGAGTTGCTCTCAAAGTAGGATCTTTGCTCACAGGACTCCACAAGTTAGAGGGAGCATTGCAGCAAGTGCTCCCTCTAAGCTGAGTCAGTGTGAGCTAGCTCACAGTTTTTTAGCCTCTAGCTCTCACATTTTTGTCTCAGCTCAGGAAGGGTGGCACACAAGAGCAAACTAATGTATGCAGCAGCCGAATCGCTCGCTCACAACTTTAATGCCAGTCGCTCACAAAGTAGAATTGTTGCTCACAAGACTCCACAACTTAGAGGGAGCATTGACAGAGACTCACCCAGCCCCTCTTTTTCCCTCCAGAACATCCAGAGCTTGAAGAAGAAGAAGGCCAAGAAGGCCGGGAAGGGCTTGGCCAAGGACCTGCGGGAGGGGGAGGCCCCCGGCGGCAAGCTGGAGGTGGCGCCGGTGGACGTGGAGTTCTCCCTGCCCAAGTTCTCCAAGCTGCGCAAGGCCCGGAGCGCCGGGGAGGTGGCGGCGGCGGCCCGGCCCAGCCCGGATCTCTCTCCCCTCCTCTCCTCCCTGGACACCAAGCGCCGCAAGCTGAGGCTCCCCAGGCTGAAGGTCAAAGAAGCCCTGGCTGCAAGGGCAGCGGCGGCAGGGAGACTGGAGGGGGCCCCGCCCAAACCTGCTCCAGAAGGGGCCGCTGGGGCGAAAGGCTCCCGATTCACCATCCCCTTCGCCAAAGGCAAGAAGCCCAAAGAGGAGGCGACGGCGGCAGTGGGACTCCGCCCCCCGCAGGTGGAACTCGACCTCCCCATGCCCAAAGTCGGCCCCGGCAGAGAGTCTCCCAGGGCCGGTCACAAAGGCGCGGTGGTCCAAGTCCCGCCGCTTGGGCTGCCCGAGGTGGAGGTGGTCCTGCCCAGAGGAGGCCCCAAAGGAGCGCCGGAAGAGGGCTCCCTGGCGGGGCTGAGCCTCCCGACAGCGGAAGTGGCGGCCCCCGAGGTGGACGTGGCCCTGAGCCTCCCCAGTCTAGAGGGGAGGCCCCCCCCAGAGGTTGCCCTCCTCAGAGGGGAAGGCCTCCAGATCAAAGTCCCCAAGGTGGGGGTCTCTGCCGAAGGGGCCGAGAGAAAGCCGCCCCTCCTCGACGTCATCTTAGGGAAAGGGAGGGGCCGGGCGGAGGGGCCGGAGGAGCAGGCGACGCTGCCACTGGTGTCCCTGGGGGTGGGGCTCCCTTCTGTAGGCGTAGAGATCCCTTTGCCCGGGGGGAAGGCCGAAGCCGAGGCGCCCAAGCCCACCATTGAGATCCCAGAGGTCTCGATAAAGGTGCCCAGCCTCAGCCTACCCAAGCTGGGCGCCCGGGAGGGGGAAGGGGAGAGCCGGGTGCCCCAAGTGGAGCTCTCCGTGGGACAGCGGGAGAGCCCCAAGGCCAAGGGCCAGACCCCGGGCTTTGGGATCTCCTTGACGGAGCGCAAGCCAGAGGCCCGAGAGGAGAGCAAGGCGAAGTCCCTGGGCTTCAAGATGCCCTCCCTCGACATCGCTGCCCCCAAGGTCTCCGACATGCAGCTCCCGAAGGCCTTGGGGGGGCCGGAGGAAGCCGTGGAAGGGCCCCGGTTCAAGCTCCAGGTGCCCCAGGTGTCGCTCCCCAAGTGCAGCCTCCCCACCCAGGCGGTGCCCCCCCCACCCCCCCCAGGGCCAAAGAAGCCCGAAGGCGAAGCTGGTGGGAAGGGGGGGGTCCCCGCCCTGGCTCTGTCCCTGCCGGCAGTGAAGCCCCCGGAAGTGCAGCTCCCCAAAGGCCACGTGCCGAAGCCAGAGCTGGAGCTCTGCGTGGACAGGCCGCGGGTGGAGGTGGCCCTTCCTGCCGCCCAGCGGCTGAGTTTTCCTGTGGCCACCGTGCCAGCCCTTGAGCTTGACCTGCCCAGAGCTGGGATTGAACTTGGTTTGCCCAAGGGGCCCGATCACCCACCCAGGGACCACGGGGATAAGCTGAAGATGCCCGCCCTCGAGGCCCTGAGCAAAGACCTGGCCGTAGAGGTCAGCGTCCCCAAATGCAGAGAAGAGCCGCTGGGTCCAGAGGCCCCCGAGGGGCTGGGCGTGGGGGCCATCGTGGCCAAAATCCCCCAGGTGGATCTCGCTTTCGGCAAAGAGGAAGCGGCAGAGGCGAAGCTGCCTTCCGTGGAGGTCTCGGCTGTCAAGCTCCCGCGGGTGACCATAGAGAGGGGCAGATCCCCCGAGGCGGAAGCCAAGCTGAAGTCGCCCAAATTTGCCCTCCCCAAGTTCAGCCTTTCCGGTCCCAAGGCCTGGAAGGTGAGCACAGAGCTGTTTGGGGCGGCACAGGGGGGAGGCCCCGACGAGGCAGACAAAGGGTCCAAGTTGAAGCTGCCGAAGTTCGGGATCTCCTTCCCCAAATCCAAGGGGGGTGCAGACGCAGAGGGCCCCCAGCCAGGCCCAGGGGAGAGGAGGAGCCGTCCCGGCGAGGAGGGGGAGCCCGCGGAGAGCCGGATGAAGCTGCCCTCTGTGGGGCTGCCCAAGGTGGACGTCGGGGTGCCCCAGCTGGGCCTTGGCCTACCCACTGGCAAAGCGGAGTCCTCTGACGAAGAAGGTGCCGGCGCCGTGCCCGAGCTCGGCCTAGAGCTCCCCGACATCAAGCGGAAGATGCCCAAGTTCTCCTTGCCCAAATTCGGGGGCAAAGACAAGGAGGGCGACGTGGAGCTCGAGACGGGGGAGGCCCTGGCAGGCGAGCGGAAGGGCAAGGCCTCCAAGTTCAAAGTGGCGCTGTTTGGCATGGCCGGCCGGGACCTGGAGGGGGCAGGCCCGGGCGGGGAGGGCAAGGCCCGGGCAGGGGCCGAGAGCCCCAAGGAGAAGCCGAGGGGCCCCCTGGTCAAGATGCCGAAGCTGAAGTTGCCCTCCCCCAAGGCGGAGCTGGGCCAGGGGCACGTCCCCCAGGTGGAGCTGCCCAAGATCAGCCTCCCGGGGGCCTCGGCAGAGGAGGCCCTGCTCGTGGGGTCAGAGAGCCTCAAGGCCAAAGTGCCCTCGTTGGAGGTCGCCATGCCTGGCGCGACAACCAAAGGGGAGCCAGCCCCAGGGAGGCCCCGGGCCAGAGCCTCAGGGGCAGACCACAGAAGACACGAGGCAGGACCGAAGATCACCCAAGCACCTTCTCTGGGCGTTTCCGCCCCCAAAGTGGAGCTGGACCTGAGCCTGCCCACCGTCGGGGCAGAGGCCCCCGTGCCACGCGGAGCCCCCGGGGCAGAGGCCAAGACCCAGCTGCCACAGGTGGAGCTGCCGACGTTTGGCAGGGGAGGAGAGCAGGGCGCCGCGGAGGCCTCCAAGATCCGGGTGCCCCAAGTGGACCTCTCCTTGCCCACGGCGCCGTCCTGGACTGAAGGAGAAGGGGTCGCTGCCGGGCCCGATGGAGGGCTCCATATGCCTTCCGTGGAGCTACCCAAGTTCTCCACCCCTAAAGCGAGAGCCCCAGAGTGCGAGGGCGGCCTGGAAGGAGGGGGCAAGATGCTGCCCGCGGTCGAGCTGAGCGGCCCGGCCCTCCACCTACCCAAATTCAGAGGCCCCGGCTCGGAAGCGGAAGGGGAGGGAGACGACGACGTGGGCCTGCCCCAACTCGAGCTGAAGGTTCCCAAACTCGGAGGGAGCGCCGAGCGCCTGGGCGTGGAAGCGGGGGCCAAGGAGGGCCGGGCCACGGTGCCCTGTCCGCCGAGCAGCTTCGGCCTGTGCCGGGCAGAAGAGGAGGAGGAGGAGGCCGCCTTCGGCCCCGACAGCAAGTTCAAGCTGAAGATGCCCTCGCTGAGCCTCTCCCGGGCGGGCGCGGAACCACGGGCGGACACCCAGCCCCTCTGCCCTTCCCGGAAGGAGGAGGAAGACGCCTCCTCCTCCTCCTCCTTCAGAATGCCCCAGGTCACTCTGCCGGGGGTGGGGTTCTCTGTGGCCGAGTCAGGCGGGCAGAGGAAGGCCAAAGTCGAAGCGGGGAAACTGGCAAGTGCGGAAGGTCCGGAAGCGGAGGGGTCTGAGGCCAGGCTGAAGGTGCCCAAAATCGAGATCCCGGCGCTGGGGGTGTCGGCCGCCCCCCAAGACCCGGAGGGGAGGAAAGGCGCCTTCCGGGTGCCCGGCCTGGAGCTGGCCACGCCGACCCTCAAAGGTCACCATGCGGAGTACGAGGTGGAGGGGGCCCAGCTCCGGCACGGGGGCTCCCAGGAGCCGGGAGGGGCCGGCGGGAAGAGCCCGGGGGGGGGAGGGGAGGCCTCCGAGGCGGAGGCGGGCAGGAAGTACAAGGTGAGGATCCCCAAGTTCGGCCTCTCCTTGCCCAAAGCAGGGGAAGGCGCTCCGGGGGGGCAGGAAGGCGAGGCCAAGGCCAAGAGACCCGCTTTTGCGCTGGGGAGGCCCAAAGGGAGGGGGGCGGAGGGCTCTCCGGGGCTGCTGGAGGGCGAGGAGGAGGAGGAGGAGGAGGGCAAGGGGGTGATGGGCAGGCTGAGGCTGGGGCTCTCCCGGCTGACGGGGGGCTCCGAGGCCGAGCTGGAGGAGGAGGAGGGTTCCCCCTCCGGGAGACGGCTGCCCAAGCTGGGCTTCTCCGACGGGGAGGGCCCCCCTGGGGCCGCGCTGCAGAACGGCACTCCGGACGGCCAGGGGAAGCTGGGGAAGGTCCGGCTGCCCCAGGTGGAGCTCTCCTCTCCCTCGGCGGCGGCGGCGGCAGGAGCCGAGGGCGACCCGGAGCTCAGCCTCAAGCTGGTGAGGGCCGAGGGGGAGGGAGAGGCGGCCAAGGAGGGGGGCCCCGGCGCCTTCGCGGCCCTCCGGTTCAAGCCCCCCAAGATCACCTTCTCGGGCTTCAGGAAGAGGAACGGGGAGCCCGCCCCTGGGGCCGTGGTCGCCTCGGGGGCCCGGATGGAGATGGCCTCCCTGGAGAGGGGGGAGGCGGCCGCCAGGCCCCCCAAGTTCAAGTTCCCCAAGGTGGCCCTCAGCCCCAAGTCCCACGGCCTGCTGGAAATCGCCTCCAGCCCGAAGGAGGGGGGGAGGCGGGGCTCCCACGAGGGCCTGAAGGTCCAGCTGCCCAGGGTGGGTTTCTCGGAGGAGGCGGGGGCCCCCGAAGGCCCGGGGAAAGCCACCGCCGCTGTGTGAGGCTGGGGGACCACCGCCCCGCTGCCCGCCAGATATTTAGCACTAACCACAAGCAGTGGGGTGGGGGGAGGCAGGCAGGCAGGATGGGCGCCCCCACCCACCCACTTCTGCTGAGCTCCACCTCTGGGAGGGGGGGGTCTGTCTGTCTTCTCTGTGGACCAGGCAGGGGCCCCTCTCCGACTGCGCTCCTTTCACCCCTGCAAGCCGCCGCCCGGGACAGATCCGCTTCTCTGCAGAACGCCGGGGCTGGCGTGGAACGTTCCTCTCGCTCTCCCTAATGTCCGGCAGCGTGTTGTCCGCTAATAACAGCTACTGAAGGGCGATTGGAAGGACCAGGCAAAGGCCTCCTCCGCCCGCCCCCCCTTCCCTTAACAGCCTTTTAACTTGAGAACAGGGCCTCTTTGGCTGAGCACCCACTGCGCCCAGGGAAGAGGAGGGGGTGCTCTAGGCTGGGGTCATTTCATAGGAAAAGAGGTGCAGGAGCTCATTAGCATAACTCATTTGCATACACCACATCCCCTGACAAAGGCGACACCCACCGCTCAGGCTCCACTGGACTGTTTTGGATGGCTAGC